GGTACACTGTCTGCTCACTATGGTGTACACCTGAAAGGAATATAATATTGTATGTCAACTGCAGTTGAAACATTTTAAAAGACTGCCAGGAATTGCTCACAAAAGCATGGGTGGTAAGAAAAACAATTGTAACTTGGCGTGGTGACGGATGTTAATTAGACTTATTGCAGTGATTATGTTATAATAGATACAAGTATCAATCATTGTGTTGTACGCCTAAAACTAATATCATGTTATATGTCAATCACACCTCGGTTTTTAAAAGAAAAGAAAAGAAAGAAAAAGGCATGGACGTGGAGAGCGGGAGAGGTGTCCGAGGGCATCCAGGCGGACTGCGGCACTTACAGACAGGAAAACAGATGCAGGGGAGAAGCACGGGCTGAAGTGGGCAGCAGAGCCAGGAGTGAGCATGGACATCTGCATCTCAGGCGGTTTCCAGGGAGAAAGAAAGACGGTTTTACATACAGCACCCTCCCCCACTACAAGACCAGAGCACACCTGTGGCTCAGACTGCCTTCCTGGAGACTCCCGGGAAGCTTCCCAGGGGCGCAGCTAAGAAGTGAACTCTTAGAACAATGTCACAGCTCAGCCACTGCCTGGTTATGGGACTTGAACAAGTTACTTCACCTCTCCGTTTTCTTGTTTTATATATATAATTTTTAAAAATTATTGATGAGAGAGAGCGTGGGAGAGAGAGAGAAATATCAATTTGTGGTTTCACTCACTTATGCATTTATTGGTTGCTTTTTGTATATACCTTGATTGGGGATCGAACCCACAACCTTGGCTTATTGCGATGACACTAACCAACTGAGCTACCAGGCCAGGACCCTCTCAGTTTTCTTGTCTGTAAATTGGGGATGATAATGGTGCCCGCACATACTAAGTGCCATATAAGCACTTACGACACAAAAGTTAAAACGGGAGGATATAGAGCATAACAACGAGGAGGGTGGACCTGGGCTCTGGACCGGTTGTTTGGATGTGTGACCTAGAGCACCTTCCTTCCCCTCACTGGGCTCAGTGCCTGCCCTGCAAGTAGGAGGGTTGGACACCTGCCGACCCGGCGCCCACTCCAGGCCAGCCGGCTCCGAGGCCTCTCACGGTCTGCATACCTTCAGCCTCTCCCCGTGCTGTGATTTCGGAACGTGGGCCAAGGGTGGGTGAAATGTGAGCTGGAATGCTGTGCTCTCAGAAAGAGGGAGGCGCACTAGATCTTTTCAAAACTCACATACTGACTTGCAAATCAGGTAACAGAGACACCTCAGTGAAGGGGCCAATTGTGTGGCTGGAACAAAACAACCCACTGGCCTGTTATCTCCTATCCTCTCTCTGATTTCTCTCTTCTTTTTCTTGAACTTAGAGAGAAAGGGGTCTTTGAAAATGTTCATTTCGAAACCACAATGGTGTGAGAAGCACTGGTCTCAGATTGCCCATCCCTACTCCCAAATCCAAATCCACGGTTACCTTCCTCTCTCCAGAGTGGGAGGCGCAGGCGCTTGGAGCCTATTAGAAATCTGAGTCTCCATGCCTGGTCCTGTGACACCAGGGCACTGTCAGCTCACGGAGCCCCAGGTTCTCTATCCCTCCAGTGGACACAAGCACACCCTTCCTGTTAATGTCCTGGGAAGGGCTCTGGGAAGCTGGCTGCGTGAGCGGCACAGAGGCCTGGGAACGTGCTGCTGGGGCCAGATATCCTGATAGCTGCGGTAAGGGCACTGGGGGAGTTCTTTGCCAGTCAAAAGTGAAACAGAGCTCCCAGCTAGAAAGCAAGCAGTCCTTGGGGGTTTTACCTGGGTTCTGAGAGGGCTCCTCCATCTGCCTCCTTGCCACTCCCAGCTCTGATGCTTGTCTCTGACCCTTGTCATCATCGGCTGACTTGTAGTCATAGCCTAATCTAGCCTCATTCTCACCAAGGAGCTCAGGGCGACTCCATCAGCCCCGAAAGCCAAGGGAGCAGGCCTCGAGGGCCCCTGGGGTCTGCTTCACCCCGGGAGCAGCGAAGACTCTGCAGTGTGCAGGGAGGGTTGTGGAGAGGGCAGAAAAGAACTCTCCCGCCACAGGCTGGGCAGGACAGCGGGGCTCCCATGTGAGCCCCTTCTCACATCTCCCCGGCATCCTGTCCAGTCCATCTGTCCCAAGACAGCAGGCCCCCCAAGTCATTGCCCCTCAAAGGCTCCCTGGGCCTCCCAAGAAAGCCCACCTTCTTCAGTAGCCCCTCCCCACTTCATCCAGCCTGACCACCTCTGGGCCCCTCTAACCCTCCACAGAAACCACAGTGAGACTCCCTGGCCCCAGTTCCTTTCTGTACAAGACCCTTTCCTCATGGCCTTCACTGGCCTAGAGTTGTTTTTATTCTTGACTTAGAAAAATCCAGGGCCCAGTTCCAATATCGCCTGTCCTGTGAAGCCTCCCCCCACCCAGTAAGGATTAATCCTCCCCCTGAGCTCCCATTTGATCCCATTTACAAGGGAGTTTATATTATGCCCGCTGCCCACCGCCCGAGCGCCTGCAAGCAGAATCCCCGCCAGGCTCCCCTGCCGGTGGCCAGTGCAGGGCCTGGCGCCTGGCGCCTGGCAGGTAACCCAGCCGTGTTTACTGAGTCGACAAGTAGCACAGTAGCACATCCCCCTTTTGTTCTCGCTTTATAAAGCTACTTGTTCCTGCAGCAGTGATCTAGCATAGAACTAGAACAGAATCATTTTATAGCAACAAAGCTGGAAGCTTGACTGTGTCTTGCCCATATCACTGGGTTTAAGGAAACCCAGGCTAAGCGGGAGCCATGGTGCGGGTAAGGGGAGGAACCGAGGCTCTCTTACCAATGCTGCCTTCCAGTCAAGTGGAGCAGCCTTGTCAGGGGAGCCATCTCCTCATGGCTGGGTAGGGGGAGCCACACAGAGCAAGACGATGGTGTGCTGCTGGGGAAAGTTGTCATTCTAAGGGCCTGGGACCCAGGACCCCTGGACAAGAATTCTGGGTTATCTAGAAAGAAGCCACTTAATCAAATCTGGAGATAAGAACAAGTTATAAGCTCATGGAAGCTTGGCCATGAAAGAGACCAACCAACTCCATCATTTTACTGATGGGGACACGAGGGCCTAGGCAAGGACAGCAACTGGTTCAAGGCCACATGGAGTGTGAGAGACGGGGCCAAGGTCGGAACTGGGACATCTAACCTCTAGTCCTACATTTTTCCTGCTAACCTATGCTCCCTCTACACCAACCGTGAGTACTTGAGAGTTAGTGAAATGGTACAGAAGTGGTCTTTTTTTATGGATCACTGTTAAACTAGAGTTGAACAATGACAAGTTTTAAATAAAGGTATGAAATCTTCCATGTTTCATTTAAAAATATATCTCATGAAAAATTCACTAGATTCAGTAACATTCATTATCTACCTTCTCCTTGCTGGGTGTTGACCTGCACACCTGAGACAGAGCTGTGGGATGAAGGCCCCTGTCTTGTAGGCCACCTCGGAGTCCTCCCTACCTCCGCTCACGACACCATGGTGCCTGGCCAAACCACTGACATGACCAGGGAGCCTCCTGCCTTTGGATGCTGTGATCCTAACAGCAGAGGCGAATTCTGAGCATTAAACACACTTCCTAAGTGTGCCAACTATGAAATACAATGTCAAAACATCAAACAAGTGAAAGAGACTCTTCTAGTTTTTATTTCTTTGTTAATTCATGGCATGACACCTGTTCCCCGACCATCCTGAAGCAGCTGCCTGGACAGTTACATGGCAATACCTTGCACGGGGGCCACAGTTCTCTGGGAATCTGCATACGCTTCACGTCAGTGTCCCGCACATGGAGTTGCTTCTCCCACGGCTGGGATTCGTGGGTCCAGCAATCCAGGGTAGAAGTGGGAGGGTCACCACTCACTACTACCCCTAGTGACTCACTGGCAAAGTTTTGGCTTCCCATTCCCGTGACCTTATTCTCTGCTGCCCTAGAGGTCTTAGTTCCAAGTGGAGAAATGCTTCCTCCCAGAGACGCAACAATGATTCCAGTGGACTGGAAGTTAAGACTGATGCCCGGCCACTTTGGGCTCCTCATACCTCTGAACAACAGGCTGAGGAGTTTCTGTGTCGGCCAGGGTGATTGATCCTGATCATCAAGGGAAAGTAGACTGCTGCTCCATGGTGGAGGTAAGGTGGCATATGTCTGCAACCGGAGACTGCTTAGGGCTTTCTTAGTATTACCACACCTGTGATTAAAGTCAATGAAAAGCTACAAGAGCCCAATCTAGGCAGGACCACTAGTGGCCCGGACCCTTCAGGAATGAAGGTTTGAGTCATCCAACCAGGCAAGGAACCATGACCAGCTAGGTGCTTGCCAAAGGCAAAGGGAATACAAAATAGGTAGTGTAAGAAGGTAGTAGTTGTAAATACCAGCTATCACCCTGTACCCATTAGAAAAACGAGGACTATAATTATCATGAGTATTTCCTTCTTATTTTGTGATGAATATGTTTGCAGGTGTGTGTGTTAAGCAAATATCTTTGTTTTCTTCCCTCACAGTCTCTTATCATGTAACATAAGATGTATCGATTTTCTACTGTAGCATTTAAGTATTGTTCATTTGACATCACAGTACCTAAGTTACTGGATATCAAGGAGAAGAGCAGAACTGAAACATTGTCTCTCTCTTCCTGGCTCTCAGGCCCACCAGCCTCTGGACTAAAACCACACCATCCACTCTCCCGGAGCTCCAGCTTGCCGACGGCAGACCTTGGGACTGGTCAGCCTCCGTAATCATGGGAACCAATTTCTTACAGTAAATCTCTTTCTCTATGCATATACATCCTATTGGTTCTATTAGAGAACCCTGATGAACACACACACACCTGCCAAGGCTTGGTTATTCCGATGTGATGGCCGCTGAAGGAAAATGGAAGTGATGGCTGCAGGAAGTCTGCACCTGTCCCTCCCCTAGGTGGCAATGGTCGCTGTCCCTGTACCTGTGACAATGTGGTCCCCTTTACTGCCTACTCACGTCAGGGTCCAGCTCATCCAGCTCATTTTCCAGGGTCCTGAGCTCTTCCTCTGTTAGGGCTCCGAGGATTTCATCTTCATCCAGGTCGCGGTATTTCTCTAGTTCTCGTCTGTATGACATTGTAGAAGAGTTTGTCTTTGTCTTCTGAGTTTCTGTGCTGATCTAGACCTACCAGGAAGAGAAAGATCTTAGAAAGACCCTTCTTAAATTTTCTTTGAGAGAGAATAAATGCTTGTCATTCACATGGTGGCCTGGGCATGTTTTATGAGCCGTCAGGATGATGATTACTACAGCGGAATACTGCACTAAGATGGACTAATTCCATATTAAAACCATGCAAGGTATAAGCCTGGAGGACATGTGATTTAATGAATCACAATTGGTTGTATTGGCATGACTGCTAATTATGAGTAATAGGTGATTATAAATGGCTTATGAGAACCTAAAAACTAGTTTATTCTTCAAGCAGTTTAAATGCTTTCCTGTACAATCCTCCACTCTTCCTCCCACAGCCCAGTGGCAAACACGAATGCTGGGAACTCTGCCAACGCTGTTCTGAAAAGGGGGCTGGGTCCCAGCGGTTACCTGAGCACCCGCTTCCTGCAGGCCCTTCACCTCCATCTCATTCAAGCCTCACAAAAAGCAGCCAACAGTAACGTTAACTCATGTGTTCAGCAACCCATCAGGATTTCCTAATTTAATCTGAGGTCGTTATTAGCTGTTATCTCCATTCTGCAGATGAAGACACTGAGCTTAGAGAGGTTGAGAGACTCACAGAAATCACCATACCAAGAAGTGGCAGATACCCATATCAGTTCTTTGGTTTATCTCTTCCCGCCCTCCCACCCAGCTTCTCTCTGAGGTTTGTCAGTCTGTTCCCTACTTCCATGTCTCTGCATCTATTTTGTAAAAAAAAAAAAGAATTTAATTAATAATAAAAAAAAAAAGAAGAAGTGGCAGAGCCACCATTTGAACCTAGGTCTGCTGGCTTTCTGAGCCCGCATTGTTCTAGCGGATTGGATTTGGACACTTTTGTCATAGAATCAGCTAAGTCCTGGCCGGAGGAGACTGCATAATCCAGACCCTTCAGTTGACTCCCAAGGGAGCTGGCTCAGACGGAGAAAGTGATTGGCCGGCAGGGGTGGGGAGCAGGAGACGGGTGTCCCGTCTGGTCCAGTCTGCCATGTCCTGGGCTGCTCTCTTTTGCAAGAGAAGGTTACGGCTTATTTACCATCGCATGGATGAGACATAACACCTATGTTTGGATCCTGTTTCTGCTGCGTCCCATAACCAGGTTTTCACACCTGTGGACTCATGTGATTCCCGACATCACACCCTGTAAGTCAAGTCTTCTAATTAAAACCCTTTCATCAATGAAGAAACTAAGGGATGGCCTCGGGCTTGACTCAGGACCCCTGTCATCAGACCCCAGGTACTCCCCCCTGCCCACTGCCTCAGGCTAACCTAGGAGACACATGAAGCCTTAAAGACTTTCTGTCCTCTGGCTTGGCTGCAACTGACAGTGTGACAAGCCCAGCTCACATGTCACCTCCCCTGTGTCCCCTCACTAGGCAAAGCTGATCATGGCCACAGCACGGGGTTCACAGTTCTCCACCCAGCTTGCATCCTGTCTCCCTCGGCTTCCACATGGCGGGGTCTGGGCTTGCTTCACCCCACCCGCCTCAGGGCCCAGCCCAGGGCTCGCACACAGCAGAGAGGTGTTACTGAAACGAACCCAATTCCAGTTCTCTGCCTGCCACTGCTGGTCCAGCTGGACAGCCTTAAGGAGATTCTGGGCTCTTCTCCCCTTAGAAAGAAAAGTCAGCTTGCAGTGGAAGCTGCTGGCATCTCCGTGTTTGAGCCTGTTCCACTGGACGTGCACCTGCCGTGAGCTGAGCCGTCAGCCTTCCTTCCTGGGGCTGCCGCTGAAGGGTGGGCTGCAGCTCCGGCATTCCCGAGTGCTGTGGACGGAAGGTGGGGTGCTGCACACAACTGCTGTTATGGGTTGAACTGGGTTCCCCCCAAATTCATATGTTAAAGTTCTAAAGCCCAGTACTTCAGTAACCCAGCACCACATTGCAAGTAAGAATGTGACATTACTTGGAAATAGGGTAGATGTAATTAGTTAGGTTTAGATGAGGTCCTGGTAGAGAAGGCTGGGCCTCTAATCCGACATGACTGGTGTTCTTATAAAAAGAGAGATGTGGACACACATGCACGCAGGGAGAAGATCACACGGAGATGATGCAGGCAGACACCAGGGGGACAAGCCAAGGACACCGATGACTGACAACAAACCACCAGAAGCGGGGCAGAGGCTGGGACTGATCCTCACAGCCCTGGAAGGAACCAACACTGCCGACACCTTGTTCTTGAATTTCTAGCCTCTAGAATTTTGAGACAACAAATGTCTGTCTGCGGGACTTCGTTCCGCGGCCTAGCCAACGGCCGCAGAGCGTGGTTTTAGACCCCCGCACGCGAACGAACGAACCCCACGGCTCGTCTGTGAAAGGACTGGCGGAATGTTCCAGAGCAGAGAGAAACAAAAACTAGGGCACGACAACCAACTAATCAATCAAAAAGGTGGGATTTATTGTTCATTAAAAACAAAGTCATTAAAAATAAACTGAGACTGAAGTTCACTAGGCCGACGGAGAAAGCCTCCATCTCCGAAGGCAGAGGCGCTGTCGGCGCGGGCTGCGGCACTGTGGCTGTCTGCAGGAGTCCCAGTGTGACAGGTGGCTTGACAAGGCAGAACTTGCTCCCCAAATACAGAAAACCCCAGCACCATCCTTTTCTTTAAGAATGGCTCAGCTTGGCCTGACGCCTTCCTTTGCCAGACCCCAAGAATGCAATGTTCAGACCACAAATGCCCCCTTCCTCCCTCATTCATTTCTATTCACTTCTAAAGAAAGCACAAGCAGCCGACAACGTTCTGGTATAGAGAAAAAACAAACAAACAAAAAAAGAAAACAACAACAACAAAGAACTCCCTGAAGGCTCTCGGAGAATAACCTAATTTGGTTTTTCCTAAGTGGAGCCAGGAGAGGTCTCCATCCCGGGGCCAAGAGGAACACCAGTCAAAGGCTTAGAATCTTCTAGAATCATCTCAGAGATACCTCCACACTAGCGTCTCTCTGTGGTGGGTTGCAGAACACGTTTTTGGTGCTCAGCCAGGTGTTGTTCCATGAAGTTCCACAGGACTCTGGGCTGCAGGACTCCTCAGACACCCTGGTGCGCTTCCTCCGCGCAATGTCTCGGAGAGGGGCGGGCTACGGCAGGACCTCCCGTCCTTTTGGCCCTGAAACCGTGTCTCTGAGAAACTGCTCCTGGAATTGGAATCTCATGAAACAAAGTTGGGAAATCAGCCTTAGACTCATCTTGGTGTCACAAGAGAAGGGACATAGGGACAGGACCAGCTAGGACAGGTTTGGGACCCTGGGAGCTTCCTCTGCATGTTATCTTTGCCAGCTGACTCATTTCCTAGATGATTTGCGCTAAAACCTTTAGAAAAAGTCATGGACAGACCCCGGAAGAGGGATAAACCAGAAGGAGGAGACAGGGGAGAAAGGACTCCAAATCAAAACCAGCTTGGAAAAAAGAACCAGGGGGAACAGGAAGAGAGTAGGTGGGAACTATGGGGCCTGCTGAAGGAGGGGCGGGCAGGGTGACAGCCACCTCCAGGGAGGCCACCCTGGGGGTTCAGCCATTACATTTCCTGAGGATCGAGTCTCGCTCTCAGCACATATAAGAAAGATTAGCAACCCACTTACACACTCAAAGGTGCTGTTGAATTCGAAAATCCTATTTCAGAGGACTGAAAAAGGCTCTTTCTAATGTCATGTGTCCTGTGAGTATTACAGAGTGACGAGGCATTACATTAAACAAGCGGAAAGAATGGAGCATTCCCAAGGTATACTCTGAAGCTGTCCGCTTCAAGCCACACTCATGCACTTGGCTCGCAGGGACGGTTTCTCTAAAGCAAGGCTCTCCTGTGGTCAGCGACGTGGGGAACTAGAGGTGGGGAAGAGACAGGGTGGGAAGGAGGTGAAAACCTCGTGTGACTAGAGCCCACGGCAAGCTTGGCCTTAAAATATGGCTTGGAAGAGATGGCGTGTTATAGCTGTTAATAAAAGGCCTCTGTGTCCTAATAAAAGAGTTGTCGTGGATGGATGTAGGCCTGAGAGTCCTAAGACTTTGGCTGGGGAGAGAGTTGTGACAGTGACTCCCCAGGGTGCCCTCGCAGGGTCCTCCTCTGGGCCTCCGTGTGCTCATCTGTAAAATGAGAATGAATGGACTGGGAAATTCCGCATGGAAGCCATCCCCTTGGAGGCACTCAAGAACTGCATCATATGAACGGTCTTTAAACTATGTGGGGGAAGATCTCCGGCTCCCAGAAAGCCCCTCCAGGACCCTTATGGGGGGGCGTCAAGACAGAGAGGGTAGCCAAGGGGGCTCACCCCTGATTTTATCTGATTTGTTTATTTGGGGTTTCATAGAAGAGTCCCCTCAGAGATAGGATTCAGCTGCTAAAATAAGAAGTTGAAAATTACTGGACTGGGTTTCTTCATCTATCTAGTGGGAGGGTAATAGTACTCACCCCCTAGGGTGTTGTGAGGATTAACTGGCAACAAGCAAATAAGGTATAAAGGCTGGGTTGGGACTCGGTCAGTGCAGGCTCACCAAATGGAGCCATCACCGTGAAGCTGCCACAGGTGGCTGCCGCTCCCCCGCCTGCGCCCCAGCCTGCTCCCCGTACACACCATCAGAGGGAGCTTCCCTCAGGGAAACTTGTCTTACTGGTCTTCACGCCTCTGTCCAGCCCTGTGCCTGGTGAACGTGCTAGGAGGGGGCGAGCACATTTGGGTATTGGTCTCGTGTCTTAGAACTTTGGGCAAGTCCCTTCCCTTTTTGGAGCCTCTCTTTTCCCACCTTTAAAATGGAAAGATGCGACCAGGTCTGGGAGGGCTGGGAGCCCAAGAGGAGGCACAGGGAAGAGAGGGTGATGGGATCCCAGCATGGCCCACCCACGCAGAACAGCACCTCTGTTGCCTGCTTTCTAAACCCGGTCCTGAGTAAGAGCTGGTGAGAAAGTGTGGACCAGCTCAACACATTTAAAACACATTTAAAAACTGAAGTCTTTCAAAGCTGGTGTGTATACTACAGTAACAGCACATCTGGCCACCCTGCTTCTCAGCAGCCTTAAGCTGCTGCCGCTAAATATGAAAAAAAGGGAACTTACACGCTGTGCCAGGAAATAAAACTAGGCGGGTTGGACAATAAAAATGACTGGGTCAAGGGCTGAGGCCATCCATCAGGAAGCTTCGGAGATGAAAGCTCAGAGATGGGGACGCTCCCGCAGTGCCAACTATGCCTTTAAATCTCTCACCGAAGTGGGTCCCGTCACTTTTGCTAATGGCTTCTCCAGCCTCTGCCCCTGTGGGAACACTTGGGGGGGGGGGGGAGCTGGGGTAGCATCTTGATTTATGGAAGACATTTCCCTGAGGTCAGGAGGACCTGAGTCACAAGTTCAAATGAATATTTTCCAGTTATACCATCTTCTATGTCAGCCACAGCGAACATCTGAATAGTGGGTGAAGAAAGGATGATTTACCACGTTGATTTCATACCCCCATCTCCTCCTGTCTTTGTCCTTTCTCTCTCTCTCTTTTTAAATCCTCACCCAAGGATATGTGTTTTTATTGATTTTTTTTTTTTTTAAAGGGAGAGAGGAAGAGAGGGGTGGGGGGAGAGTGAGAGAAACCCTGATGTGAGAGAGACACATTGATTGTTTGCCATCCGGGGATCAAACCTGCAACCTGGATATGTGCACTGACTGGAAGTTGAACCCACGACCTTTCAGTGTATGGGGTGACGCTCCAACCGACCGAGCCACACCGGCCAGGGCTGGAAGACGCTCTCGCTAAAGGGTTATGCCATAAGCCCTCATCACCGAAGTCTGGGCCTCTCTCTTCCACTGGCGTCAGGGACACCAGAGTGCCCAAGAGGACCCTGTTCCTTCTGAGGGAACTGTCTACGCTCTGCCCTCCTTCAAGGGGCACCTCTGAGGGGCAACCCTATTTTATATCATCACCCGCCCCCCAGCAGATTGGACAGAACAGGAGCCTGTTGCAACGCGGTGGCCTGGGACAAGAAGAAAGGGAGTGGGGCGAACATGACTTCCTTTACTTTTTGGCATTTTATTAGTTTCCTGGGGTTGCCCTAGCAAAGTACCGCGAACTAGATGGCCTAAACAACAGCAATCTATGCCCTCAGTTCTGGAGGCTAGAAGTCCCAAACCCAGGTGTGGGCTGGGGTGGTTTCTTCTGAGAGCTCAAAGGGCGAATCTGTTCCACGCCCGTCTCCCAGCTCGGGGAGCCTCCGGCGTTCTGAGGCTTGAGCGGGCCGCCACCCAGTTCTGTACGTGTCTATGTCCAAATGTCCCCTTTATATAAGACACCAGTCATACTGGATTAAGGCCTGCCCTCATGACCTTATCTGAACTTGATCATCTGCAGAGGACCTATTCCCAAATAAGGTCACAGTTATAGGTACAACTTTTAGGGGGGTATAATTCCACCCATACAGCATTGAATTAGGACATAAAGGGAGAAGGGGCAGGTGGTAGGGGAGCTGGGGGTGAAGGGAGGTGCCTGTGTGAAAGCGGAGGCTGTGAAGTGAGCGATGTGTGAGGAGTGAGAGTCCTCAGGGGGGGTGAATTCATGGGGCTGAGGGAGACGGAGAACATCGTGTCCCCGGAAGTGCCCGTCCCTGCTCCCTCAGGCCTGCGTTGCTACGGCCCACATTGGATCCTACGAGGCCCCTGTCCTTCAACAGTCCTTAGGAGGCCCGCCCCTCACAGCACTCGGGTACCTTGAATGAGTCCCTGCTCCTTAAGCCAAACGAGAGGAGAACTCAGACTCTCGGTCTCCCTCCTTCCCTTCTGGCCCCCCTTCTCAGTCTACTTGATGATGAATTCCTTGTGCCCATCTGTTCCCCTGGGTTCTGCCCTCTTCTCACTTCTCACTCCCCTGGGGGTTCTTATCTCCCATGTGAGGTCTGTTACCAGCGATAAGCTGATGACTCAGATGGTCTCTCTGCAGCTCAGGCTCCCTGCTGGGCACTTCTCCTAGAGTCCCTCTGGCTCAACCCTGAGCACGGCCCCCTCACCACCAGCACCTCCTCACCTGGGTGATGGCACTTTGCTGTCCTTCAGTCACCCAGGCCAGACACCTGCGGTCAGCCTAAACTCTCCCCTTCCCCCTCCCCCCAGCTCTGGTAGGTCCCCATGCCTGTCAATCATCTCTCCCTCTTTCTCTATCTCTTTTGAATGTTATAGTTTTTAAAATTCTGGTAAAATGTACATAACATAAAATTTACCATTTTAAGTGTAAACTTCTGTGGCATTAAGTACACTCACATTGTTGTGCAGCCATCACCACCAGCCACCTCCCCACTGAAACTCTGTCCCCGTGAGCACCAGCTCCCCACTCTCCTCTCCCCCAGGCCCTGGCACCCCCCGTTCTACTTTCTTTCTTTATTCTTTTAGAGAGAGAGGAAGGGAGAGGGAGAGCGACACAGAAACATCGATGAGAGAAAACACTGACTGGCCGCCTCCTGCCTGCCCCCCACTGGGGATCTGGCCCACAACCTGGGCATGTGCCCTGCCCAGGAATCGAACTGGCGACCTCTTGGTGCATGGTCGATACTCAACCACTGAGCCACGCCAGCTGGGCCCACCACTGTACTTCCTGACTACCCTACGTGCCTCATCTAAGTGGAGTCCTACATTACTTGTCCCTCTGTGACGAGAACCCTTGGCTCCCATTCACGGGGCTGGCCTTTTACACGTTGTCACAACAGCTCTCCAACCCGTCTCCCTCTCCCCTCCCCCTTCCGGTCCCCACCTCCGGTCTCCCACCTTCCTGTCCACACTCTACTCGGCGTCCAGATGATCTTTGCCTCTCGCTGAAAGCCACCTTCAGTAGCTCCCATTATGACAGACAGTGCTCCCCTGCCTGGGGTTCGAAGCCATCCCAGAGCACTCATCCCTGAGTCCCTGAAATTCTGGTCCTGCTTATGCCACCATCCTCCTAGCCTGGGGCTCCCGCCTCCAGTCTGAAGTGGGACCAAGTCCCCAGAGCATGGCCTGTCCACACAGCACCCCCAACCTCCTGATTGGTGAGTGTGGTCTCGTCCCCATCTCCTGTGCAGCCCTGTGGGAGCCGTGCTTCCCGGCCTGCAGAGGAGACGTGGCTCCCACACCTCCTAGCCCCCGAGGCTGGGCAGGCAGGGCCAGCAGTCACATCTGACCTGCTCCCCATCTCTGCGCAGCCCCGGCC